CCCCCCCCCCCCCCCCGCCGTCTCCAGTACTTCCGGCTTTTCTCCTCCCACAAGATGGCTACCAGGGTGGGGATTGGCAGTGTTGGTTTCCTCCGCCTCCGCTCAGACTCAGGGAGGCCTATCATCCTTTCGGTTAACCTCAGCCTCCAGTAATCCTGTCAGTTCCCCTCTTGGTTAGCCTCGTCATTGCATAGTATACAAGAACGTGAGTTCAAACCCTGCCTTCTACCTTTCCCAAACTAACATGATCTTGACCTTCCTAAATCAAAAGAGATTAAAAATATAAGCTTTAGTTGTGTACTTGATTTAGAATACATTGCCAGCGGCGACTGCTTCTATTTCTATTGTGGAGGAACTCTGGCTGTATTCTCTTAGCTTACTGACAGGAATCTCCTAGTATTCTCGGAAATCTGCTGGGGTTTCTTGAACTCAACATGTGAAAATGAAGAGACTTTCTGAAACAAAATTATTTCTTTTTTTTTTTTTTTTCAAGACAGGGTTTCTCTATGTAGCCCTGGCTGTCCTGGAACTCACTCGGTAGACCAGGTTGGCCTCGAACTCTCAAACTCAGAAATCCGCCTGCCTCTGCCCCCAAGTGCTGGGATTAAAGGCGTGCGCCACCACCGCCCGGCAAATTATTTCTAATTTAAAGCCTGATCTCTGTGATTTTGTAAGTATTTCTTAAAAAAAAAATCTTGCGTTGCAAATTTAACTGTTTTGTCTGGCAACTACCATGCCCTATGAATCTGTGTAATTTTAGTAAAAAGTACAATACTATTTGCACTTTTAAATGAAATTGCTGTATGGTTTACTAAAAAAAAGCATGGTAAGCCAAGAGCTTGTTTAGGGATATAAAGCCTAAGGCAAGGTGAGCAGAACTGAAACTATGTTTTAAAATGTAGCCTACCCCCTTTTGGTCCATTCTTTGTCTTTCTCTCTTTTAACTATTAACCTAACTACTTAAAAAAAATCAATACATCTGTTATCTCAAGGCTAAATGGATTTCTGCTTAGAAACTATGAAGATTAGTTAAACTAAATATTTAGTGAACTTTGACTTTTAAGAGATTGCTGAAAGATAGGCCTAGAAAGAAAAGTTAAGGCCAACCTGTAGGAGTTCCTTGTGTTAGCTTAGCTTAGCTTATCATTTGACCACACAATAAGATTGGTACAGTTTCCCCACACTGGAACATGTCTGGATTTTGTGCTATATGATCTGGAAGCTTTCCGAGCATAAGTGGAGAGATGAAAGGCAGGAAAAACAGTGTGGTGACTTTGGGACTAGCCAAGACAAGGAAATAACCTACTCTGGGCTAATGGCGGTAAAAATGGAATAAGTTTGAGGGGTATTACAAAAGAACTGTAGAGCCAGACAGCTGAGAGAGATAAAGAAGAGGAGGTGGTGCATGTTAAGCATTTCCTCATCCACTAAAATAAAGAGAAAGAAGCCAGATAGAGAGTTTCTAATATATTTTCCATCTCTAAAATTCTGCTATTTGTAAATGAACGATTTCAATGCACTTACAAAGAAGGAAGGAGTTACAAAGAGTGAATTTGCTTCTAGACCTAAGATCAGAAACCCTGAGGCATATCTATAACAATTTCTTGGCGTTATCCTTCCTTGCATCGGAGGCCCTGGGAGTTTAGACATTTGAGTGGACTCCCCAGGTTTCAGATCCTACTCCTGGAAGAAAGAATGAAAGCACTCGGTGTTCTGTGAGCTGACAGTTCTTAAGAAGGCATCAGCACACGTACATATGAGTGTACATGATTATGTCAGCAATCCGTTGCTTTGCACTTGGTACGTCAGTGTCTGCTTATAGTTAGCTCTCTCACCTTTCTGCTTGTTCATTCAATCTGAATTATAATTAGATCTTGAAAATAAAACTCAAAAAAAAAAAACCCCAAAGTCTACAGTAAGTCATAAGGTACTTTCTTTGGTTATAAGGAAATGGTGAACAAGACTTAATAATAACTCTTTTATTCAACTACTGTTTGTTAAAACAGGTAAGCATGAAAACCTACCACAAACTAGAACAATTTAGGAACATTGACACAGTGTGGTATATAAATTTAGAGAAGTCAAAGGCCTGTGCTTGTAATCTTTTTATCCTTAGAGCTTAGACGAGTGCTTTCTTTGACATATGATAGGCATTCTATAAATGGCTTTTGAATGGCTGAATAAATTATAATTGCCTCCCTTGCCTACCAGCTAACCAGGAGGTTGAAGTGTTCTATTCAATGTGAGTTCCTTGCTATAAAGAACTGTCATGTAGCTATTTCATTTCACTAACTGACTTCTTCTTTTCTCAGTTTTCCACTTAATTTTGTAGTCTAATTTGAATATGCATCTAAATGGTTTATTTCTTTGTCATAAATATGCTAACTCAACTTAATTTCCAGTCATTTTAAGGCCATGAAAATTACCTCTGCCTATGCTTACTGGTATGCATGCTTTTTCGAGCACCTAAGACATCATTGTTTTTCCTCTCCCTTTCAAGTGGTACTGAAATACAGAAAAGCAATGAGAAGAGGTGGGGCCTGACCATCTCACCAGGCTATTGCTTTTATTATTGACCTCCAGTAAGGCTCAAATCTGAATAAAGAAGGGGGCCATTGGCTGCACCAGCATTTAAAAAGTCAAGCAGAAAAACCATGAAAACAGAATTAGGTTGTGAAACTTCAAGTAAAATCAGTGAATTCGATTAATACAGGATGCAGAAACCATAAAGTAGAATCGTGGCGAGTTTGGGGACACAGACAGTCTGTTTCAAGACTTAGTTTCTCCATACTTGTGGTTTTCTTTTGACCACTTTATTTTGAAAGAATGAAAAAAAGGACACGCTTGTCTCCTCTTCGAGCCTGCAGGGGAGCTCACTGACTAATTTAACTGGCAGTTTCAAAAGATGGAATCTGCGCAAAGCATTTTAAAATTCGGGTGGTGTCTATGATTAGACACTAAAACTAACCAGTTTTGTGTACCAGAAAAAAGGAAGTGAAGAAAACTTTGGATTTTTACCTTTGGAGTAACAAGATTTATAAACAAAAACAACAACAACAAAAACAACTTTTATTTGGCAGCTTCTAGGTAGAACTCTGGAGTAAATAGCACAAGGAAGGAGAAGGAGATTCGGGAAAGAGAGATTTCATATCCCAGCTCAAACTACTTATACTCCCACAAGTATTCCCCCAACCAAGAATGTCAAGAATATACTTTAGGGGGCCCAGTCTCCTCTGCTAGAAGGGGCAGGTCCTTCCCCTCTCTTGGATGGATGACTACATGGCTCTTACCATGCTTTTGTGTGCCATTGTGTGCCATCACTTGCCATACAAGAAGCACTTGATAAATACTTGCTGGCATTCAGACTTTTGGTGTACAAGCTAACAAACCTATGAATGCTATGATTTAGAGAGTCGTTTAAAAACAAAAATACCTGCTCTTTCATGGGCTGCCTTCTTCACTGGAAATAAAAGTAGCAGAGGGGGAGCTATCTAAACTTAACTCTCTGTTTGGTAGAAGAGTAACCAGATGTTTTTTGGAACCGAGAGCTGCAGGGACAGTACATGAGAACTCATCATTGGCTGTGACAAAGAATAAATATGGCGACCAAATCTATTGTGGAACTCTGTTTCCTGCATATGATAATGCCTGTGGCTCCTGGGACATTCTGTGCCTTTTAGTTTTTGAGAAACTGAGGCACTCCCTCAGGCAGTGACCTGTTCAGGCCATTTTGTGTTTTTCTGTATATTCTCTTAATAGTCAAGGAAGCATGGAAGCTGGGTGGGACAATTGCTCTTAGACATTAATCTTGTACATCCTGCAATCACCACTACATTCTGTTTCTGATAAAGGTATAGAAAATCTGATTGCTCTCAATAAATTCGCCACAGCTTAAGTTTTGCTGTGGATCCTCCAACTGGCCTGATTTAATTTGTTTGAGCCATATCAGATGACCTTGGGGCAGTATGTAACCATGGGCACTTAAACACAAACACAGATTCCAATAAAATGGAGACCTCTTTACCTTTCCCTTCACCTATTCAGCATGAGTGTTTTGATTACAGAGAGAACCACCACTTGCATAGTCTGTCCAAAATTCTTTTACTCCTGTGGGAAGAGCAAAGCCAGGAAGGGAGCGTAACTATTACACAGAGCCTAACCTAGGAGGAGACTGGAGAAGAGAATGTTTTCATGGAACTAGATAGATACCCCAAGTGGTAGGGCACATCATTGAAAATCATCCCAAAACAACTCAAGAGAAGTCTCTTCTCTGCTCTTGGAAAGGGAAATAAAGAGCTTAGTAACAGTCTCACTGAATTAAACTACCCATAGGAAGCTGTTGTAAGAGACAGCTGGGATAGGACTTAGATCAAGCTTGGAGGGAATGACTGACTGCTTTACCAAACAGCCTTTCTGTAGTCTCCTCCTTATTCCTCAGTCTTAATGTGTTCTCGGTATTTCCTTTCTTTCTCCCCCACTCCGTTCCCATGTCTGTCTGTCTGTCTCTGTCTCTTCTTGTCTCTCTGTCTCTCCCTGTCTC